CCAGGTTACCAACAGAACTGGGTCACCAACAGAACCGGGTTACCAACAGAACCGGGTCACCAACAGAACCGGGTTACCAACAGAACCAGGTCACCATCAGAACCAGGTTACCAACAGAACCGGGTCACCAACAGAACCGGGTTACCAACAGAACCGGGTCACCAACAGAACCGGGTTACCAACAGAACCAGGTCACCATCAGAACCAGGTTACCAACAGAACCGGGTCACCAACAGAACCAGGTCACCATCAGAACCAGGTCACCATCAGAACCAGGTTACCAACAGAACCAGGTTACCATCAGAACCAGGTTACCAACAGAACCAGGTTACCAACAGAACCAGGATACCAACAGAACCGGGTCACCAACAGAACCAGGTTACCAACAGAACCGGGTCACTATCAGAACCAGGTTACCAACAGAACCGGGTCACCAACAGAACCAGGTTACCAATAGAACCGGGTCACCAACAGAACCAGGTTACCAACAGAACCAGGTCACCATCAGAACCAGGTTACCAACAGAACCGGGTCACCAACAGAACCAGGTAACCATCAGAACCAGGTTACCAACAGAACCGGGTCACCAACAGAACCAGGTAACCATCAGAACCAGGTTACCATTAGAACCAGGTTACCAATAGAACCAGGTCACCAACAGAACCGGGTCACCAACAGAACCAGGTCACCATCAGAACCAGGTTACCAACAGAACCAGGATACCAACAGAACTGGGTCACCAACAGAACCGGGTCACCAACAGAACCAGGTTACCAACAGAACCGGGTTACCAACAGAACCAGGTCACCATCAGAACCAGGTTACCAACAGAACCGGGTCACCAACAGAACCAGGTCACCATCAGAACCAGGTCACCAACAGAACCAGGTCACCATCAGAACCAGGTTACCAATAGAACCGGGTCACCAACAGAACCGGGTCAACAACAGAACCAGGTTACCAATAGAACCGGGTCACCAACAGAACCAGGTCACCATCGGAACCAGGTAACCATCAGAACCAGGTTACCAATAGAACCTGGTCACCAACAGAACCGGGTCAACAACAGAACCAGGTTACCAATAGAACCGGGTCACCAACAGAACCAGGTTACCAATAGAACCAGGTTACCAATAGAACCAGGTTACCAATAGAACCGGGTCACCATCAGAACCAGGTTACCATCAGAACCAGGTTACCAATAGAACCAGGATACCAACAGAACCAGGTCACCATCAGAACCAGGTTACCAATAGAACCGGGTCACCAACAGAACCGGGTCAACAACAGAACCAGGTTACCAATAGAACCGGGTCACCAACAGAACCAGGTTACCAATAGAACCAGGTTACCAATAGAACCAGGTTACCAATAGAACCGGGTCACCATCAGAACCAGGTTACCATCAGAACCAGGTTACCAATAGAACCAGGATACCAACAGAACCGGGTCACCAACAGAACCGGGTCACCAACAGAACCAGGTCACCAACAGAACCAGGTTACCAACAGAACCGGGTCACCATCAGAACCAGGTTACCAACAGAACCGGGTCACCATCAGAACCAGGTTACCAACAGAATCGGGTCACCAACAGAACCGGGTCACCAACAGAACCAGGTTACCAATAGAACCGGGTCACCAACAGAACCGGGTCACCAACAGAACCAGGTCACCAACAGAACCAGGTTACCAACAGAACCGGGTCACCATCAGAACCAGGTTACCAACAGAACTGGGTCACCATCAGAACCAGGTTACCTATAGAACCGGGTCACCAACAGAACCGGGTCAACAACAGAACCAGGTTACCAATAGAACCGGGTCACCAACAGAACCAGGTCACCATCGGAACCAGGTAACCATCAGAACCAGGTTACCAATAGAACCGGGTCACCATCAGAACCCGGTTACCAACAGAACCAGGTCACCATCAGAACCAGGTTACCAATAGAACCAGGATACCAACAGAACCGGGTCACCAACAGAACCGGGTCACCAACAGAACCAGGTCACCAACAGAACCAGGTTACCAACAGAACCGGGTCACCATCAGAACCAGGTTACCAACAGAACCGGGTCACCATCAGAACCAGGTTACCAACAGAACCGGGTCACCAACAGAACCGGGTCACCAACAGAACCAGGTTACCAATAGAACCGGGTCACCAACAGAACCGGGTCACCAACAGAACCGGGTCACCAACAGAACCAGGTCACCAACAGAACCAGGTTACCAACAGAACCGGGTCACCATCAGAACCAGGTTACCAACAGAACCGGGTCACCAACAGAACCGGGTTACCAACAGAACCAGGTCACCATCAGAACCAGGTTACCAACAGAACCGGGTCACCAACAGAACCGGGTTACCAACAGAACCGGGTCACCAACAGAACCGGGTTACCAACAGAACCAGCTTACCAACAGAACCAGGTCACCATCAGAACCAGGTCACCATCAGAACCAGGTTACCAACAGAACCGGGTCACCAACAGAACCAGGTCACCATCAGAACCAGGTCACCATCAGAACCAGGTTACCAACAGAACCGGGTCACCAACAGAACCAGGTCACCAACAGAACCAGGTCACCATCAGAACCAGGTTACCAACAGAACCAGGATACCAACAGAACTGGGTCACCAACAGAACCGGGTCACCAACAGAACCAGGTTACCAACAGAACCGGGTTACCAACAGAACCAGGTCACCATCAGAACCAGGTTACCAACAGAACCGGGTCACCAACAGAACCAGGTCACCATCAGAACCAGGTCACCAACAGAACCAGGTCACCATCAGAACCAGGTTACCAATAGAACCGGGTCACCAACAGAACCGGGTCAACAACAGAACCAGGTTACCAATAGAACCGGGTCACCAACAGAACCAGGTCACCATCGGAACCAGGTAACCATCAGAACCAGGTTACCAATAGAACCTGGTCACCATCAGAACCAGGTTACCAACAGAACCAGGTCACCATCAGAACCAGGTTACCAATAGAACCGGGTCACCAACAGAACCGGGTCAACAACAGAACCAGGTTACCAATAGAACCGGGTCACCAACAGAACCAGGTTACCAATAGAACCAGGTTACCAATAGAACCAGGTTACCAATAGAACCGGGTCACCATCAGAACCAGGTTACCATCAGAACCAGGTCACCAACAGAACCAGGTCACCATCAGAACCAGGTTACCAATAGAACCGGGTCACCAACAGAACCGGGTCAACAACAGAACCAGGTTACCAATAGAACCGGGTCACCAACAGAACCAGGTTACCAATAGAACCAGGTTACCAATAGAACCAGGTTACCAATAGAACCGGGTCACCATCAGAACCAGGTTACCATCAGAACCAGGTTACCAATAGAACCAGGATACCAACAGAACCGGGTCACCAACAGAACCGGGTCACCAACAGAACCAGGTCACCAACAGAACCAGGTTACCAACAGAACCGGGTCACCATCAGAACCAGGTTACCAACAGAACCGGGTCACCATCAGAACCAGGTTACCAACAGAATCGGGTCACCAACAGAACCGGGTCACCAACAGAACCAGGTTACCAATAGAACCGGGTCACCAACAGAACCGGGTCACCAACAGAACCAGGTCACCAACAGAACCAGGTTACCAACAGAACCGGGTCACCATCAGAACCAGATTACCAACAGAACTGGGTCACCATCAGAACCAGGTTACCAATAGAACCGGGTCACCAACAGAACCGGGTCAACAACAGAACCAGGTTACCAATAGAACCGGGTCACCAACAGAACCAGGTCACCATCGGAACCAGGTAACCATCAGAACCAGGTTACCAATAGAACCGGGTCACCATCAGAACCAGGTTACCAACAGAACCAGGTCACCATCAGAACCAGGTTACCAATAGAACCAGGATACCAACAGAACCGGGTCACCAACAGAACCGGGTCACCAACAGAACCAGGTCACCAACAGAACCAGGTTACCAACAGAACCGGGTCACCATCAGAACCAGGTTACCAACAGAACCGGGTCACCATCAGAACCAGGTTACCAACAGAACCGGGTCACCAACAGAACCGGGTCACCAACAGAACCAGGTTACCAATAGAACCGGGTCACCAACAGAACCGGGTCACCAACAGAACCGGGTCACCAACAGAACCAGGTCACCAACAGAACCAGGTTACCAACAGAACCGGGTCACCATCAGAACCAGGTTACCAACAGAACCGGGTCACCAACAGAACCGGGTTACCAACAGAACCAGGTCACCATCAGAACCAGGTTACCAACAGAACCGGGTCACCAACAGAACCGGGTTACCAACAGAACCGGGTCACCAATAGAACCGGGTTACCAACAGAACCAGCTTACCAACAGAACCAGGTCACCATCAGAACCAGGTCACCATCAGAACCAGGTTACCAACAGAACCGGGTCACCAACAGAACCAGGTCACCATCAGAACCAGGTCACCAACAGAACCGGGTCACCAACAGAACCAGGTCACCATCAGAACCAGGTCACCATCAGAACCAGGTTACCAACAGAACCGGGTCACCAACAGAACCAGGTAACTATCAGAACCAGGTTACCAACAGAACCGGGTCACCAACAGAACCAGGTCACCATCAGAACCGCTCTGAGAACTGTGGAAGCAGCGTTTTTCTTGGCCTATTTATGCGATGAAATATTTTAACTTGTCTTTCCTCTGCCTAAATAGGAGGGATTGCTTAGAAGTTTTGTACCGCTTCTGTCAGTGAGCCCCAGGGCAGCTGTGGCTACAATGCAGCTCACCACCATCAGTGTGTGAGTGAATGGGTGAATGAATGTAGTGTTTTACTCTATAAGTACAGGTCATTTACCACGTGTCATAAAAACAGGCTGAAATGACCTGGATGATACATTCCCACCCACATAAATCTTTATGCCATATTTTCCTGAATGTTCTCTAAACTCCCGCGCTTTGGGACACCAGCAGGTTGTTTAGACTCACCCACGCTCTGTGTTTGCATTTCCTCCATGATCAGAGGTTGGTTCCGCTGGGACGGTTCCCGGATCCACCTGCGGGGAACACAGAGTACGATCGCTAAACGATCAGCTTTGGCTGAGAACCACAGAACAATAGAAATACAACAAATAGAAAGCTGTCTATGACATTAAGCAGGTATAAATAAAGTCAGAGGATGAGGAACCAGCAGCAGGTCACAAACAAGATCAAACATAACTGGTTCAACCTATTAATGAAATGCTAAATGTGCACAACAAGGTTAACATTTATGAGATAAAGTCACATGATGTCATCCTTTTCATGCTTCAAACATATGTATTTCTGTGCAAAAAATACCTTTATTCCAATCATTCTAATAGTTTGAATTCTACGACTGGTTATTGAAAGGTACTTGCTTTTAAAACCACTTCAAACACCTTTTTTTATACTTTAACCCTGAATAAAACAAGGTTGTTTCATCTGCAAATATAATAAGCCTAAACAATTTGAACATTTTGATATACGAAAGAAAAAGTGAAGGTTCCCAGGACCGAACCTTGTGGTACTCCATAACTAATGTGGTGTACAGCAGATTTTAGCTGGAATTGACTCCTTCCTGAAGCAAATCCAACCATTATCGGGTATCACGCTGTGGGGATTCTTCTCCTGGGAAAAGAAAGAGCTGCAAAAGACCCGAGGTTCACCTTCCAGCAGGAGAACCACCCTGACAATCCAGCCTGAGACGATGGAGGTCGCCGGCGACCCGTTTCTAAAGTGTTAAATACTAATAACTCAGAAGGTTCTGCTTTATCTGTGTTTTGTTAAGTTGGATTCAAGCCTCAGTTGCCTGTGAGTACTAAGTTATTCCAATTAAACTAACCTCTGCCTCCCTGCATCTGGATGCTCAAACACTGACAACAGAGGGCTGCAACTTTTTGCTGCAAACTAAGAATGTCATGTTTTCAGAAGCACGACACACAGAAAAAAGAAAGGGAAGATGATGTCAAAGGCTTGAAGGATTTTCTATGTTAAAAATAAAGTTAGGTCTAAGAACGGAACTAAAGTCTACGTTCCACTGCGGGCCTTGATGAGTCCGGAACAGGTCTAAGAACGGAACTAAAGGCTACGTTCCACTGCGGGCCTTGATGAGTCCGGAACAGGTCTAAGAACGGAACTAAAGTCTACGTTCCACTGCGGGCCTTGATGAGTCAGGAACAGGTCTAAGAACGGAACTAAAGTCTACGTTCCACTGCGGGCCTTGATGAGTCCGGAACAGGTCTAAGAACGGAACTAAAGGCTACGTTCGACTGTGGGTCTTGATGAGTCAGGAACAGGTCTAAGAACGGAACTAAAGGCTACGTTCCACTGCGGGCCTTGATGAGTCAGGAACAGGTCTAAGAACGGAACTAAAGTCTACGTTCCACTGCGGGCCTTGATGAGTCCGGAACAGGTCTAAGAACGGAACTAAAGTCTACGTTCCACTGCGGGCCTTGATGAGTCAGGAACAGGTCTAAGAACGGAACTAAAGTCTACGTTCCACTGCGGGCCTTGATGAGTCAGGAACAGGTCTAAGAACGGAACTAAAGTCTACGTTCCACTGCAGGCCTTGATGAGTCCGGAACAGGTCTAAGAACGGAACTAAAGTCTACGTTCCACTGCGGGCCTTGATGAGTCCGGAACAGGTCTAAGAACGGAACTAAAGTCTACGTTCCACTGCGGGCCTTGATGAGTCAGGAACAGGTCTAAGAACGGAACTAAAGTCTACGTTCCACTGCGGGCCTTGATGAGTCAGGAACAGGTCTAAGAACGGAACTAAAGTCTACGTTCCACTGCGGGCCTTGATGAGTCAGGAACAGGTCTAAGAACGGAACTAAAGTCTACGTTCCACTGCGGGCCTTGATGAGTCAGGAACAGGTCTAAGAACGGAACTAAAGGCTACGTTCCACTGCGGGCCTTGATGAGTCCGGAACAGGTCTAAGAACGGAACTAAAGTCTACGTTCCACTGCGGGCCTTGATGAGTCAGGAACAGGTCTAAGAACGGAACTAAAGTCTACGTTCCACTGCGGGCCTTGATGAGTCAGGAACAGGTCTAAGAACGGAACTAAAGTCTACGTTCCACTGCGGGCCTTGATGAGTCAGGAACAGGTCTAAGAACGGAACTAAAGGCTACGTTCCACTGCGGGCCTTGATGAGTCCGGAACAGGTCTAAGAACGGAACTAAAGTCTACGTTCCACTGCGGGCCTTGATGAGTCAGGAACAGGTCTAAGAACGGAACTAAAGTCTACGTTCCACTGCGGGCCTTGATGAGTCCGGAACAGGTCTAAGAACGGAACTAAAGTCTACGTTCCACTGCGGGCCTTGATGAGTCAGGAACAGGTCTAAGAACGGAACTAAAGTCTACGTTCCACTGCGGGCCTTGATGCTCAATTACGATAATTTTGTGAAATCCAATTTTTTGTGCGTTGCCGTTTATATTTCCAAATAAATGTGACTTGTACATGATCTCCTGTGGGAACTGTAGTGATATGACGCAAGTGTCTCGCATGCGCAGTAGAGGACGCCATGACGTCACAGGCAGTGTGCTCTGTGTTTACAGAAGTAAACATGGATGGCAGCGCCGGCGCGTATCTAGCAGTCTTTTCCAACCATAAAACCTCAATCTTTTCAGGATGGTTAACCATAGACACTGCTCTCTGCATCATCGTCAACCATGGTTGTTGTTTTTCTTTCTGCTTCTGTGTAGCAAGACGCAGAACAGTGACCTTTGTCGGGTATTAATGGCGTTAATGTTGGCCGTTCACACGCAGGTCGCATTTAGAAAGATCAGATTCGTATCGGATTCAGGACCACGGAGCCAAGTGTTCTGGGTCGCGTTGGGAAAAATCGGATCTGTGTTGTTCAGACTGTCATGAAAAGATCTGATCCAGGTCGCATATGGGCAAAGAAATGTAGGTTTGGGTGACTTAGGCTGCGAGTGAACGGAGCCTTAAAGACATCATAAAGGACTTTACCACTGCCTGGACTGAAGCAGTGCTTATCGCCCGTTTTTTTTGCTCCTTGGATGTGAAAAAGCAGCAGATAGGAGGTATTAGACCCTGCTTCACTGGTCCTGAACCTCTGCTGGGAAACAAGGAAAGCCATCAGAGCAATAAAACAAGAACTCCAGACCATGTGCTGACTGGACGGAGGAATGGCCGAAATCTGCCAGTCAGCGTCTCAGAAACAGAGGAAGCAGGAAAATATTGATGGAGCAGCGACAACAGGAGACGCAGAGGAGGAGCTGGCTCAGATCAACGCAGCAGGAGGAGGGAAGGAAGGAGGAGGGAAGGAGGAGGGAAGGAAGGAGGAGGGAAGGAAGGAGGGGGGAAGGAAGGAGGAGGGAAGGAAGGAGGGGGGAAGGAAGGAGGGAAGGAGGAGGGAAGGAGGAGGGAAGGAAGGAGGAGGGAAGGAGGAGGGAAGGAAGGAGGAGGGAAGGAGGAGGGAAGGAGGAGGGAAGGAAGGAGGAGGGAAGGAGGAGGGAAGGAAGGAGGAGGGAAGGAAGGAGGAGGGAAGGAGGAGGGAAGGAAGGAGGAGGGAAGGAGGAGGGAAGGAGGAGGGAAGGAGGAGGGAGTGCTACAAGGAGACTGCTAATAGACAAAATACCACAACCCCCCCCCACCCCCCTGACTTTAAGCTAAGGCTTAAAGTCAGGCTTAGGTTAAAGTCACAGTCAGGGTTAAAGTCAGGGCTTAGGGTTAAAGTCAGGGTTAGGGTTAAAGTCAGGCTAAGGCTTAAAGTCAGGCTTAGGTTAAAGTCACAGTCAGGGTTAAAGTCAGGGCTTAGGGTTAAAGTCAGGGTTAGGGTTAAAGTCAGGCTAAGGCTTAAAGTCAGGCTTAGCGTTGAAGTAAGGGTTAAAGTCTGGCTTAGAATTAAAGTCAGGCTTAGGTTAAAGTCACAGTCAGGGATAAAGTCAGGGCTTGGGGTTAAAGTCAGGCTTAGAATTAAAGTCAGGCTAAGGCTTAAAGTCAGGCTTAGCGTTGAAGTAAGGGTTAAAGTCTGGCTTAGAATTAAAGTCAGGCTTAGGTTAAAGTCACAGTCAGGGTTAAAGTCAGGGCTTAGGGTTAAAGTCAGGGTTAGAATTGAAGTCAGGCTAAGGGTTAAAGTCAGGCTTAGGTTAAAGTCACAGTCAGGGTTAAAGTCAGGGCTTAGGGTTAAAGTCAGGGTTGGGGTTAAAGTCAGGCTAAGGCTTAAAGTCAGGCTTAGCGTTGAAGTAAGGGTTAAAGTCTGGCTTAGAATTAAAGTCAGGCTTAGGTTAAAGTCACAGTCAGGGATAAAGTCAGGGCTTGGGGTTAAAGTCAGGCTTAGAATTAAAGTCAGGCTTAGAATTAAAGTCAGGCTTAGGGTTAAAGTCACAGCCAGGGTTAAAGTCAGGGTTATGGTTAAAGTTGGGCTAAGGGTTAAAGTCAGGCTTAGGGTTAAAGTCAGGCTAAGGCTTAAAGTCAGGCTTAGAATTAAAGTCAGGCTTAGGGTTAAAGTCACAGCCAGGGATAAAGTCAGGGCTTAGGGTTAAAGTCAAGCTTAGTGTTAAAGTCAGGATTAAAGTCAGGGGGGATAAAGTCAGGCTAAGGGTTAAAATCAGGGTAAGGGTTTAAGTCAGGCTTAGAGTTAAAGTCAGGCTAAGGGTTAAAGTCAGGCTTAGGTTAAAGTCACAGTCAGGGTTAAAGTCAGGGTTAGGGTTAAAGTTGGGCTAAGGGTTAAAGTCAGGCTAAGGCTTAAAGTCAGGCTTAGCATTGAAGTAAGGGTTAAAGTCTGGCTTAGAATTAAAGTCAGGCTTAGGTTAAAGTCACAGTCAGGGATAAAGTCAGGGCTTGGGGTTAAAGTCAGGCTTAGAATTAAAGTCAGGCTAAGGGTTAAAGTCAGGCTTAGGTTAAAGTCACAGTCAGGGTTAAAGTCAGGGCTTGGGGTTAAAGTCAGGCTTAGAATTAAAGTCAGGCTAAGGGTTAAAGTCAGGCTTAGGTTAAAGTCACAGTCAGGGTTAAAGTCAGGGCTTAGGGTTAAAGTCAGGGTTAGGGTTAAAGTTGGGCTAAGGGTTAAAGTCAGGCTTAGGGTTAAAGTCAGGCTAAGGCTTAAAGTCAG